TGACACTGAGTAACTGTGAGCCATCAATGTGCATTGTTGATGACACTGACACTTATTTCCCCTCTTTGGGACAAGAGGATACCAACGTTTTTTCGCTGTCGAAAGCAAATTGAGATGAAAGAACCTTTTTCTTTCTGCTAGGCTGAAATGGTGGTTAAATCTCTCTTATTTTTACCACCAACTGCCAGTTTGTGGTATTTCAACATTATCCCAACTAGAGGTACAGAACCAATTACCACAAGTAATGTTACGCCCAGTTTCATACATAGGTTCAGTTAATGTTTTTACATATATTGGAAGAGGATTGTTGTCAAGACGTGCTTTCTTTCCAATGTAAGGGATTACAGTAAATATATAGAATAATCGTGCGTCACACACATATACTTGTCAGGTTTGCTTGCAATATAAATCCCGAACGGAAACTTTCCTCTCAATCCTAGCAATTGCTCGTATGTAGCACAGTACTCATGCGTTGTGTATGAGGAGCTACATGCTCGTATGCAGTACAGTACTCATGCGTTGTGTATAAGGAGTTACATGCTCGTATGCAGTACAGTACTCATGCGTTGTGTATAAGGAGTTACATGCTCGTATGTAGTACAGTACTCATGCGTTGTGTATAAGGAGTTACATGCTCATATGCAGTACAGTACTCATGCGTTGTGTATGAGGAGCTACAGTGAGCAATGAATTCTGACCACATCTCACGGATGGGTGAAACTTGTCCTCACATTTCTTGTTGTCAAATATCAGGCAAGTTATAAAGAATCGAAATCACGTTTCAGTCATTAATGATCGATAAGCTGGTGCTTCGAAACTAGATTACATTTCAGATGTACGTAGGTGGTTGTCCTTCTGTTCACCAGCTATACAGAGCGATCCTACAAGTGTCTTGATTATCTCCACATTAGTTTTCCTACAAATATTTACTGGACTGTCTTTCAATTTTTTGATTTGTATACAAGGGTATTTTGTTTATCAATTCATCAGTGAAAAGGACATACCAGTCTTCTACTACTTCGGTATTAACAGTTTAGACTTGCCCCCCCCCCCCGGTACTCACAAAACAATATTTCGAGCAGGTGTACGACTAGGGGGTGGTAGTTCCTTTAGCCACAAATGCCCATTTTTACATTTCAATGAGTCACCGCTAGATTCTTCTTCAACATCTGACTCTCCCGAACTCAAACTGAATATCTACGTTACCTTCTCTCCCAGTATCTATTGTCACTATCATATTGTTCATTGCACGAACCTGTACTTCAAAGTTTTGGTCAGTTACACGTAAAGCCATGTTCATAAATCAAAGATAAAAAATATGTTCACTATCACCAGTGACGAAATTTAACATACATTAATACTTACACGGGGTGACACTTAACCCCACGCAAGTGAAACACTACTGAGACAGCAAACAGCGACACTCGCTGACTCCCACATTCGAACTGACTTAACCTCATATCAGATTAGCATGATGGTCACTCTGGTCTTCAAGTGCGCTCTAGACTCATGTGTAGAAGAAAGAAATGGTTGGGGTAATCCCGGAAAACATTCTAGAGTTAAAAAAGGTTGACCCAACTGTTTGCTTAGTTTTATATAGAGGAGGAATGAAGCGATTCTCCACTCCACTCCTATTTCCAATAAGCTGACTTGGGGAATCAATTGGCTAATCTTCCTGCAAGAGAGACGGCCGACATTTTGGTCACCCAGGTTTAAAATACCAGTAATAAACACATGGTTATGATATTATGATCAGTGGATCTTTATACCACTAAACCCAGAAATCTGTCACGTTTCGCCACATTTATTAAAACGTCGATCTTGATGTTCTAACACCTAATGATTTTTATTGAGTGTCCAAAAGAGTGTACTTTACCTGAAATTAGAACAGTGAATTTTGTCATTAATGTTTAACCTTTGCAATTTATCGAATTGTTCATATAGCGTATTAATCATGATAATCAAACCTTTACATATCTATTAATCTTCTTGTTATCAACATATTTAGTAGAGGTACATAAACGCGGGAACGACTTTAAAGTTGAGGTTCTTAACACCACAAAACCTTATGGTTTTCTCATGTAATGAATATGTTACAATATCAGTGATTGGTAGCATAGCAACTCCTCTCGCATCCCTGAAGACTTACATAGTCAACAACCATACCCAGAAGACTTACACAGTCAACATTCATACCTTCCTCGATCGTTTTAAGTAACAAGTATAATAACAATAAACTTTAAATGTTATAAAGACAAGTAACTTAGCTAGATATAGTAATATAGAAAGTTTTAATGCTACAAAAAGTAATGAAATAAAAAAGTCAAAACTGCCAAAATTGAGTTACTTCAAATTAGAAACAATTTATCCTTATTTTGGCTCAGACTACCATAATTATAGTGATTTGCCAAAATAGAGATAAATTTTCGAAATTTTAAGTAACTCAGTTTTTGTAGCGATAAGGTTTGTAATTTTTTCTGTGCGCTTATCTGGAAAAGTCACTTACTTATTTATTTAGATGAAAATTCGTTGAAATAGTGAAATTTTGATTCACTCCATAAACACATATATACCGATTTAGACGGCTTTATAAATACAATAAGCTATAGTTTTGATCAGCCAATACTGTGAAACAGTCATTGTTAATATTGAGATATTTTAAAGGTGGTTTTAAACGGGCGATTTTTATGGCCGACATTTTGTTTCATCGCGATCCCTACTAGCAAGTACTACCGTACTTAATCATACATCTGTGACGTGTGTAGAACAAACAAATCTAATGGTTCATGTTTAATTAAATACTGAGCCATAACGCATTCATGTTAGTAAAAAATGTAACATAAAACTGTTGGTTCATAATGTACCCATATTAGTATTTATTGGTACAAATAAACCTAATTTGTTCACTTGTGTCTTTAGAGATGCGAACATGATTAGGAACGAGACAGGCCATGTATAGTTAAATATATTGTTACGTTTCCGTTTGTTAATTAATTTTCCGTAACTTCGTTCCGACGAAACTTTAGCGACACAAGTCCT